TTGAGGGCTAAAAAGAAAACACTCATATCCCCTATCGGTGACGCGTTAATGAAGTTACCCGCAATAGTTGCCATATTCCTGATCGGTGTGGAGGAAATTAGTTTAGCATAGCGGTCGAAACGCGGGAATATTTCGCGAAAGATGCCAGACTCGATTAATTCCGTGACGGTAGTTGATGGGCCAAAGAAACATTTACCTTCCCGCAGCGATATGGTTGACAACGAGGGATGATCGAACACAAAACGAATGCCGGCATGCGTCATCTCATCATGCTTCTGCACATATAAGTCGGTACCGCCACCCACCACATGGGGACGGGAAGGCGAAGCAGCCAGGTCAGAAAGCTGTTTAATTTTTTCAGTATCGTGAATTAATAACAACCTGTCACCTATGCCAGCGAAATACGCAGGGACGATTTGTTTATTTATACCGCGAGCGACAGGTCCGTTATCATTTTCATCCTGTATTATTGTTGCGAGTCTCTCTGCGGCACGCTGAATGGATTTGTAACCGGTACACCGGCAAATATTGCCGTCGATGGCTGCAACAGCATTCTCGCCTGTAGGTTTGTTATGCCCGAGACAGAAGCCGGTCATTGACATAACAAAGCCCGGTGTGCAGAAACCACATTGCGTAGCCCCCTCATCTGCCATTAATTCCTGAACCGTGTTTAGCGAGTCTGGTTCATTGATGCCTTCGATCGTTACAATGTGTTTTCCCTGTACGTTACCGAGAGGAACAAGGCAGCTGGTCATCGACCGGTAAACAGGTTTCTCATTTACCAGCTCACCGACTAACACAGTGCAGGCACCACAATCGCCTTCACGGCAACCTACCTTTGTTCCGGCCAGGTGCTGATGGTAACGGATGAAGTCAAGCAGCACCATGCCTGGGGGAAGGCCTGTAGTTATTTCTTTTTGATTTAATATAAACCGTATCAATGTATTTTCGTTGTACAGCCCATGTAAATTGGTTTGATAAAGTGCCTTTACTAAGTTAATATAATTTATGCAGCACCCTGTTATTCTGAATTAAGGCTGTCACATATCATGAATAATCAACCAACACTACCAAATAACCCGATTATTTATTATCGCCTGATAGCGCTTTGGGTATTGAATGAAGCGATGCTGGGTGGAATCATTCATGGATTCAAGCTTCCCGTTTCCGGGTTGATCGTTGGCGGTTGCGCTATTATTTGTATTTGCCTGATAGCTTGGTATGTACCTAATAAAGGCGCCATTCTAAAGGCAACGATAATAGTTGCCATATTTAAAATGATGCTAAGTCCACAGGCGCCTCCGCCGGCATACATCGCCGTGTTCTTCCAGGGCTTGTTGGGAGAATTGCTTTTCTGGAACCGAAGATTCTTTAAAATTTCCTGCGTGCTGCTCGGCATTCTTGGACTTCTTGAATCAGGGTTGCAGCGAATACTGATGTTGACGATCATATATGGCAAAGACGTCTGGA